AATACACAAAGTTCTCCACTGGTGGGGCTTTCATCTGCATTTGCCTATTAAACATGTATCTAAAGGATGATTTTTAATAGTATTTGAAATTATATTTTGCCCCTCCTGATTTTTTTTTGTTTTTGTCATTGGCCCTTTTTGCACTCGGCCAGAGAACCTAACCTAACCTAACCTAACCTAACCTTCACCTGTTCATTCATGTCACTCACCAGCCGAAGAAGACTGTGGCGTCGTAGGTGAGGAAAAAAAAGTGAAAACATTCCTCCTATCGCTCACGTCAGCTACAACAGCGAGTCTCACACCACTGACGACAGCCAACCACAGGTGAGACACAGGTTATGAGGCAGGTGAGACACAGGTTATGAGGCAGGTGAGACACAGGTTATGAGGCAGGTGAGACACAGGTTATGAGGCAGGTGAGACACAGGTTATGAGGCAGGTGAGACACAGGTTATGAGGCAGGTGAGACACAGGTTATGAGGCAGGTGAGACACAGGTTATGAGGCAGGTGGGGACGACAGAAGTAGACTTAGCCATCACCATCTCACGCCGCAGTAAAAAAAAAAGGAGTGCAGTGAGTGAAGCAGACAGTGTGAGGCCGCAGTGTGAGGGCCGCAAGAGGAGGGGGGGATGAGGGTGTGCGGCAGACGGGGGGTCACTCCACTTCGCCCCCACACAAAAACTCGTAGAAATATTACCAGCCGAGATAAGACGCCAGATACTGTTGTAATTGTCAGGCAAGTGTCACCACTAATTAAGAGGAGGGGTGGATCACCCTACCACCCACATCACAACCACCACCACCACATCACAAACCACCACCACCACTCACATCACAACCACCACCACCATCACAGCCATCACAACCAACACCACTCATCACAACCACCACCACCCACATCACAGCCACCACCACCCACATCACAACCACCACCCACATCACAACCACCACCACCCACATCACAACCACCACCACTCATCACAACCACCACCACTCACATCACAACCACCACCACTACTACTACCACCACCACCACTCACATCACCACCACCACCACTACTACTACCACCACCAGCACCACCACTCACATCACAACCACCACCACTACTACTACCACCAGCACCACCACTCACATCACAATCACCACCACTACTACTACCACCAGCACCATCACTCACATCACAACCACTACTATTACCACCACCACCACACATCACAACCACCACCACTCACATCACAACCACCACCACTACTACTACCACCAGCACCACCACTCCACATCACAACCACTACTACCACCACCACCACCATGCAACCACCACCACTACTACTACTATTACCACCACCATCACCACCACAGCTACCACCATCACCACTACCACAACAACCACCACTACTACCACCACTACTACTACTACCACCACCACTACTACTACTACTACCACCACCAACACCACCACCACCACCACCACCCACACCACAACCACCACCCACACCACAACCACCACCCACACCACAACCACCGCCACCACCCACACCACAACCACCACCACTACAACCACCACAACCACCACCTGTCGGACATCACAGGCAGGTGAGCCAGTGGTAAGGTAAGGTATCAGTATCTCACCCTCAGTGCCTCACCCCTTCAAGTACCCAGCAAAAGACGTGAAGGACACACCCCACCACCGCCGCTGCAGGATGACGGCGGCGCTAACGCGAGATTCCTGAGGAGGTGTGGTGCCCTCCCTCCTCCACATGATGTCAAGAAATAATATGTTAGAAAAAATTAATAATAGATTAACTTAACTTTACACACACACAGTAGGTATACACGGCGTCTGAACAGGTATACGCGGCGTCTGGACAGGTATACGCGGCGTCTGGACAGGTATACGCGGCGTCTGGACAGGTATACGCGGCGTCTGGACAGGTATACGCGGCGTCTGGACAGGTATACGCGGTGTCTGGACAGGTATACGCGGTGTCTGGACAGGTATACGCGGTGTCTGGACAGGTATACGCGGTGTCTGGACAGGTATACGCGGTGTCTGGACAGGTATACGCGGTGTCTGGACAGGTATACGCGGTGTCTGGACAGGTATACACGGTGTCTGGACAGGTATACACGGTGTCTGGACAGGTATACACGGTGTCTGGACAGGTATACACGGTGTCTGGACAGGTATACACGGTGTCTTTTCTTGTTAGCTGGTTTGATTTTTAGAATTTATTAACTTATTTTTGTTGTATGTTTTTTTCTGGTATATTTTTCGAGGCGTAGGTGAGGTGAGGTGAGGTGAGGTGAGGTGAGGTGAGGTGACGTGAGGTTAGTGTTTGGTTAGGTTATATAGCACTAGCATATCACTGTCTCTCGCTGTGGTCAAAATCTCCAGCTTGGAATTCGACAAATATCATGTTCAAGATTTACCTCAGTATCCGTGGCTATTAAATATCGGTAAATAGTTAAAGATAAAAACATACAATAATAGTTGATGAGGACGAAAAACCCGCATCGAGGTGGGATTAGCGACACCTGTTGTTATACTGCAGTGTGTGGCTGACGCGGGGAGGCTGACAGACACTTCTAGAGGCACTCGTGTGTGGCATGAGTGACGCCCTCTAACATAGCACCTGTCAAGTATACAATAATTACACACAAAAATACTTTATTACCTCCGTCTAGACGCAACGACTGTCATGACGCTGGTTGACACAACAACTGTCAGGCAAACAATAATTACAAGAAAACTCCAAGACGTTATTACCTGTGTGCTGACGCTAATAGTGTGTTCCTGAGGCCAGCCAGGTGAGGCGGACAGGTGCAGCCGATCAGATAACCGAGCCTAAGCTGCCTACCATAACAACCACAGTTACCACACACCACCACAACAATAACAACCACAGTTACTACACACCACCACAACAATAACAACCACAGTTACCACACACCACCACAACAATAACAACCACAGTTACTACACACCACCACAACAATAACAACCACAGTTACCACACACCACCACAACAAGAACAACCACAGTTACCACACACCACCACAACAATAACAACCACAGTTACCACACACCACCACAACAAGAACAACCACAGTTACCACACACCACCACAACAATAACAACCACAGTTACCACACATCACCACAACAATAACAACCACAGTTACCACACACCACCACAACAAGAACACATAACCAAAGGTCTAACAGCCTCTTACAGTTTACATTAAAACAAACAATTTCCCTTTAGACTAAAATCCAATACCTCTCAATCACGTACAATTGAAACGTCATTGTTGTTGTTTATCACGAGTAAGACAGGTGGTAAACAAACAGGTGTTTAAATTAACATCTCACTTTACCTGTGTGGCGGTCTGCTGCCTGGAGGAGGGCAGTAGTCAGTAGCCAAACTCTTACCTGGAAAGAAAAATATAACGATCAATATGGAAAAAAAATAAAAAAATAGTAAAAGTACATAATAGAAAAAATTATAATTATCTGCAAAACAAAAACCATTAATGTATTGACTTTAACACAATGAATAACCGAGAAAAAAATATTAATACAAAAGCATAAAAAGTGAAGAAAAAAATATAAACATTAACAGTGATAAAATCCAGCAGTGACAGCCAACGCGTTACCTTACAGTCACTATAAGCAACAGTGTAAAATTGCTTTACTGGCTCACTGTTAAAGAATGTGACGGGAGTTAGTGTTGTATTCTATCCGTAGTAATAATCTTGGGTTAATTTTTAAATATCAAATATATAATAAAGCAGACAGACAGACAGACGGACAGACAGACAGACAGACAGACGGACGGACGGACGGACGGACGAAAGACAATACTGCCCCTAACACGTTATAAGTAACTAATTAATAAACACGACCTCAACAAAAACACCACGAGTGCCAACACCTGGTGCCAACACCTGGTGGCTCCTGAGATACAACTGGAAAGATGAGGCAATACCTTCTCACCCCCACCAGAGGCCAGATGGTGCCCCTCCCCCCTCGTGATTGCATGCAGTGGGTGAAACAGACTGACTCATGCCTCGTATTCACCTCGGAGTCACACACACATACGCACACACACATACACGCACATACCACCTGTGCATTACCCAACGGGCCTCCTGGATCAGATAAACAATGACCTCCCTTAGCAGGTGGTACCCCTAGCAGGTGACCTCCCATAGAAGGTGGCCTCCCTTAACAGGTGGCCTCCCATAGCAGGTGACCTCTCCTAGGTGCCACCACTAGCAGCTGACTTCCCCTACCAGGCTAAACCCTAGCAGGTGACCTTCCTTAGCAGATGGCACCACTAGCAGGTGACCTCAGTCAGCCAGCCAGCAGGTAAGAGGGTGGAGGGAGAGTACTGGCCACGCCCTCACACCTGCTGGGTAATTAGTACTCCCTTATACCTGTCTCACCTGCTGGAGTGACTGACAGACTTCTACCTGTGTGTCTCACCTGTGTCACCACCACCTGTTGCACAATTAAGGATTAGCATTGCTATCTTTATCAGTATCTTCCTCATTATCTCTTATCATCATCATCATCATCATCATCATCAAAATAACCGTTAAAAAACGTAAAAGTAAATTATATTATACTGTTATTTTAATTGGAAAATAATACTAGATTGACGTCATGACTTTTATGTGAAAAATTATACTCATTAAGACTAATTACGTCACGAATTCCATCTGAGGAAATTGATTAGAGATGGAGTAAGCAATGAGAGAGAGAGAGAGAGAGAGAGACCAGCCTTGCAACAATGACCTTGACCTCTAGTGACCCCCAATATTGCACGTCTCTGAGTGGTCATGAAGATATTGCATCTTCAACAATTCCAAGTCAATCATTAAAATATCTATTAAAGAAAAATCTGCCAACACTCGGGTCAGTGTTACGCACGCACGGGGCGTGGGTGATTACAATACCCCTTGACCGATATACGGAGATGGGTAAATGATAAGAATGGCCCTTAAAATAGACCTGCCTCACGCCACACTGCCAGGCATCAAGGCTCCATCCACCACACTGCTGGCTCCGGGCGCAACACCTGCCAGCCAGTCTGTGCCTCCTGAAGGTGAACATGTGACACCTGCTGGGGCGGAGACCTCAACAGGGGAGTAGGTACTTAGCTTCCTTGCCACGCTGACAATACACACATACACTAGTTTACTATAACTAACTACCTAACTAAGGAGATGGTGTGAACGTACTCCTTACACGGGTTAACAGTCAACACATACATAGATTGCCTTAGTTACAGGGCACAAGACACCACTGGTACAAGACATGGAGGAACTATGGCTAAACACCAGACATGATGCCACACTTTCACTCTCCCCTGCCAGGCTTTCCAGAGAGTGGTTGGAGGAGGAACCTTCTCCTACCACCCACAACCACTATCACCCCCCTCCCTACCACCACCACCCACAACCACTATCACCACCCACAACCACTATCACCCCCCCTCCCTACCACCACCACCCACAATCACTATCACCCCCCCCCCTACCACCCACCATCACCACCACCCACAACCACTATCACCCTCCCTACCACCCACTATCACCATCACCACCACCACTATCACCCTCCCTACCACCCACTACACACCACACCACTACCTCCTACCACCCACTATCACCATCACCCACAACCACTATCACCCTCCCTACCACCCAATCACCACCACCCACTAACCACAACCCACTATCACCACCACCCACAACCACTATCACCTCCCTACCACCCACTATCACCACCACCCACAACCACTCATCACCCCTCCCTATCACCACCAACCACAACCACTATCACCCTCCCTACCACCCACATCACCACCACCATCCACATCACTATCACCCTCCACTATCACCACCAACCACCAACCACATCCACTCACCCCCAACTATCACCTCACCACCCACCATCACCACCACCCACAACCACCAGCACCCCCTCCCTACCACTATCACCACCATTATCTCTTACCACCCACTAAAGTACTCACACACACCTTCCTACCACCCAATATCACTACCACCACCCTGGCCTTCCACTACCTCCACCCTTACCTCCCTACTTCCCCTACACTCCCACTACCTCCACTCCAACTCCTCCCCCTCATTACCTTGCCCTCCCCCAGCACCCAGGCCTCGGAGGGGGGAGAAGACACCTGCGCCAGGTGAACCCCCCCTTAGAGGTGACCTGACGTGACCCCTCAGTGAAACCATTTAGAAACCACTTGTAGGTTGCGTTACCTCTGTGTGTGTGTGTGTGTGTGTGTGTGTGTGCGTGCGTGCGTGTGTGTGTGTCATCTCACCTGGAGACTTATGCTACACCACAGGCCGGGACGAGACGCTGGGAGGGAAGAGAGTGTCTAGGGAGATAAGAGAGAGAGAGGGGAAGGAAAGGAGAATAGGGAAAGAATGGAGAGAGAGAGAGAGAGAGAGAGAGAGAGAGAGAGAGAGGAGGAAAAAGGAGGTAGATAATGGGGAGAAGAGGAGAAGAGGATGTACAGAGGTAGAGTCTGGGGGAAAGGAACCGGGGAGAGAATGGGAGGGAAGGTAGAGAGGGGCACAAGGTCACAGTCGAGGAGGGAGGGAGAGAGGGAGGGAGGGAGGAGGGAAGGAGGAGAGAGAGAAGGAGGAGAGAGAGAGAGAGAGAGAGAGAGGAAGAGGAAGGAGAGAGAGAGAGAGAGGAGAGGAAGGAGGAGAGAGAGGAGGAGGGAGAGAGGAAGGAGGGAGAGAGAGAAAGGAGGGAGAGAGAGAAAGGAGGAGAGGAGAGAGAGGAGGAGGAGAGAGAGAAAGGAGGAGAGAGGGAGGAGGAGAGAGGAGGAGGGAGAGGAGAGAGGAGGAGAGAGGGAGGAGGAGAGAGAAGAGGAGGAGAGAGGAGGAGGAGAGGAGGAGGAGGGAGAGAGAGGAGGAGAGAGGAGGAGAGAGGAGGGAGGAAGAGAGAGAAAGGAGGTGAGAGAGGGAGGAGGGAGGAGAGAGGGATCCAACAAGGCCTCCCAAAGAGATAATCTCTACCTGGGCTCCTCAACACACCTGGAGAAAGCAATGAAGATGACAACGAGACACCCACCACCTCACCCCACCTGGTGACTGTACTGGCTGGGGGTGGACTGTGACTGGTGGACTGGTGACTGAGTGGACTGGTGACTGCAGGGGTGGACTGGTGACTGTGGACTGCTGCTGCTGGTGACCTGTAGGGTGGTGACTGGTGGACTGTGACTGTAGGGTGGACTGGTGACTGTAGACTGGTGACTGTAGGGGTGGACTGACTGTGGGGTGGACTGTACTGTAGGGGTGGACTGACCTGGTGACTGGGGGGTGGACTGGTGACTGTAGGGGTGGACTGGTGACTGTAGGGTGGACTGGTGACTGCAGGGGTGGACTGGTGACTCAGGGGTGGACTGGTGACTGTAGGTGGACTGGACTGTAGGGTGGACTGTACTGGGGGTGGACTGGGTGACTGTAGGGGTGGACTGGTGACTGTAGGTGGACTGGACTGTAGGGGTGGACTGGGTGACTGTAGGGGTGGACTGTAGTGACTGGTGACTGTAGGGGGTGGACTGGTGACTGCAGGGGTGGACTGGTGACTGCAGGGGTGGACTGGTGGACTGGTGACTGGGGTGGACTGGTGGGGGGTGGACTGGTGACTGACTGTCTTCACCTCTACCTCATCCACCATCCCCTCTTACTCCTTCCTCTTACTCCTCTCCCTCACTCCTCCTCCCTCCTCTCCTCCCTCCTCCCCTCCCTCCTCTTACTCACTCTCCCACTCCCTCCTCTACTCACTCTCCCCTCCCCTCTTACTCCCTCATCTCTAACATCTTCCTCCTTCATCCAGATCTTCCTCCTTCCTTCAGATCTTCCTCCACCCGAGTAATATTGCACCCGGATTGTCCTAACTTCAACCCTCTTACAGTTGGCCTCATGACGTCATCGTGGTCTCCTGACGTCATCGTGGCCGCCTGACGTCATAGTGGCTTTCTGACGTCATCGTGCTCTCCTGACGTCATCGTGTATGGGGTTACCAGTACCCGTATCCTCCCTCACCTGACCTATCAAGTTTTGCCATCGGATGGCCTCTGAGTCACCGCGTTCTCTGATGGCCAAGGAGTGGTCGGTCGTGTTCGCTACCCTCAGAACAACCAAGCATTAAATACTGGATACGTTAAGCTGCACATAAGTCGACATCCCTCATACGTCAAGAACCACCACTAGTCAGGTCAGAAAAGGCGGACATAAGAGTGGAATAACAGAGCCAGAAGTTAATTATCTAATCTGTTTATGCTAATTGAGTACACTGTTGATTAGGAGTCATAATATTTGTGTTTAAATTATCACGTGCGTATCCGAGAGGCTTCCTTGTTTACTGTTTGTCTGAGCGATAACTTATGAGAAAAGTTTATGAGTAAACAAAGTATCGTTATTTGTCATATTGGTAAAAAAAATTATATTTTGATTTATTTCATAATTTATGTACACGCTGATTATGAGACCATGTGTGTGTGTGTGTGTGTGTGTGTGTACCAAGACAGTTACAACCTTGTTCATGACTGGCTCTTTCATTCACGATCCACCGAGGTCTTTTATACCCAATTAGTTGTGTTTATGTTAGATGCGGCAGTAACAGATGACCCGCGTCAACACTGTCCCCCCGGCGCTACTGACACAGGTACACATCCATCCACCACGTGATGATATAGTCATACAAACGGTTTCTTAGCTGCGGCAGTAAGTCATCGGCGACAGTGACGGTCAGTGGCAACAGTGACGGTCAGTGGCAAGAGTGAGAGTCAGTAGCAACAGTGACAGTCAGTGGCAAGAGTGACGGTCAGTGGCAAGAGTGACAGTCAATGTAAAGTGACGGTCAGTAGCAAGAGTGACGGTCAGTGGCAACACTGACGGTCAGTGGCAACTGACGGTCAGTAAGCAACAATGAAGCAGTCGAGTGGCAACGATGACGGTCAGTGGCAGCAGTGACGGTCAGTGTAACAGTGACGGTCTGTGGATAGAGTGACGGTCAGTAACAGCAGTGACGGGCAGTAGCAACAGTGACGGTCAGTGGCAAGAGTGACGGTCAGTGGCAGAAGTGATGGTCAGTATGGTAGGCCGTCGAGTAACAACAGTGACGGTCAGTGGCAGCAGTAGAAGTATGAGAAACAAAATGGATGATATTGGGGCCTTGGCATGTACAGAAAAAATCGATATAATAGCATTCACTGAAACATGGATCAACCTAGACTCGTGAGTTAGTAGCAACAGTGACGGGGGTCAGTGGCACGAGTGACCGTCAGTAGCAACAGTAGAAGTATGAGAAACAAAATGGATGATATTAGGGCCTTGGCATGTACAGAAAAAAATCGATACAATAGCATTCACTGAAACATGGATCAACCTAGACTCACGTGAGTTACCGGTCGAATACCATATTGCGGGTTACAAATTGTTCCATACCGATAGGCAGACCAGGAAAGGAGGCGGAGTAGCAATCTATGTCAGGGATAATCTGAAGTGTGAAATGAATAAGGAAATAAAAACTGAGCGGAATACAGAAACAATTTGGATAGAATTAAGTGACGGTAGGGAAAAATTAATCACAGGAGTAATATATAGACCTCCCAATCTTGATAGAGTAAATGAGCGACTGGGATGAAATGCGCAGGGCTTCCATACACAACAAAGTCGGTATAGTAGGCGACTTTAACCTTGGCCAAATAGATTGGACTGACCTTACGGGTAACTCAGAATCAGAGGATTTTCTCGAAACGATCCAGGACTGTTTCCTAAGTCAACATATAACCGAACCCACCCGGGGCAATAATATACTCGATTTAGTTCTGTCAAAAAAAGAAAACCTCATTAGCAATGTCAAGGTAGGGAATGAGCTTGCAAACAGCGATCACAAAGAAATTAGATTCCAGTTAGATTTTCAGGGCAGATGTAAAGAAAATTCCACTATAAAGTACAAGATTTCAGTAGGGCAAACTTTGACAGTTAAAAGAAGCAGCTGAGGGAGGGGGTGTCGCGCTTGGGGTCAGCTACATGACCTCACATGAATTGACCTCACTCAATGCACCCACAGAGGGCGACCTCACGGTACCAGGAGACCT